TGTTGCTGACATTTGGTCAGGCTAGACTCTCAACAATGAGGACTAGAGAATGTGCCCCGTAGTCTTCTCTGCTGAGCGGGATCAGCTACAGAACATCAGCATCACTTCTTCCAGTAAACCGTCGGTTTTTTATTGATGTGTATGCGTCCAGTGGTCTTTTCGACTAGATGAGGCCAGAATTGTTGAGTAAAATAAATACTCGCCCTATAATTTGCTGTAATGTTTGGTGAAGCCAGGTTATCGGCGAGACGATAATCACACAATCTGAAAACTGCAACCAAAACAGCAACCCTTGAACTTAAACCGCGCGTTCTAGCTCTGATCGGTCGCAGCCATTCTGTAAGCTTCGCAAATTACTCAATACTGACAGCATTCGGATTTGTATTGCGAGTCTGGTTTTGTCCAGAGAAGCTGCTCCGCTAAACTTACAGTTAGTTCTATTTTAAATTCTGATGAATGTTATTTCTAACCCACTCTAAATATCCTTATTGCATTGAGGATGCATATTCGCATCTTTTAAGCGTATATTTAACGCACTATATCCAAAAAGACAGTCACCTTAGCGCCTAGAAGTTGGATTTGCACATCCTATCTTGCATCTTGAGGTACGTAAAGGCAGAAGTTAGCACTATTTATTTCCCAGCAATAAGGCAGTGTTGAGATAATTGCTCTATCACCAACACTTATGGCAATAATGGTATTGAAAATTCGATTGCTAGGTGGTAAGTCAAAATGAGAAAGGGCGTTCATCGGGAGAGGTTTATTTTTTATCTGACGTTTCGAAACATTCTTATCAGGGGACAGTCACGACGCGGAACAATCAGGGCCGTCAACCAGCGATCAGGTTAGCCCGCGTATTCATGAGACAGGCTATAGCGAGACGCAGGGGGAGGGTCGATGCGACACAGATGACCAGCGCGCAGGGAGCCCAAATAAACAGTGTCGCCCCAGTTGCAGACGGTATCAACACAGAGCCGAGTGCGGGTGACGGTTACCAGGCTGTTGGGGCGGCGTACGGTTACAACCTGGAGACGCGAGCCACGCAGAGCGGCTCAAACTGGATTGGTAGACTACGCACACGGAAGAAAGGAGCGGCATATAGCGAGAGCCAGGAGCCAGGGTATTCACTCTCTGAAGATGGATGGACGAGGCAACTATCCGAAACATCAGCTTAAAAAATAAACCTGTCCCGGCGAACGCCCCTTCTCCTCCTGACTTGTGGCAATGCCTACTGTAGCGCAGAGTTCTGTATATTTGTATTCAAATGGCGTGTGACGCTGGCCAGGAGCAGGGCTTACAGTATTTAGTAACCTAACTGTCAAGCAGAAGTCGATATCATCTTCAGGAGTGAACTTAATGGGGTTTCGTTGTAAAAAGGGTCCGTCAATTTAACTCACAGGTAACTACGCTAGCTTATATGCACACATCGTTCTTTTTTCTTCCCAGCAAGCACCGTACTGAGAAAAAGAGAGAGAGGATTTGGCCCTACATGGCAATGAAATTCAAATGATCGCGACCACGACGTCCTCAAGCTTGTCTTTTTGAGGACCGCTGATTGACACTGAAGTAGCTGTGTCGAAGTACCAGATTACCTAAACCTTCATATTCTCGCTCCTTTTTCCGGCTGTCTCTTTCGTTTAAACGAATTGGACACAACGCTGCCGTTTAGCGCTCCCCCTCGCATAGCCTGTGGGCTTGATGATAAGATTGTGAAATTGTGAATACTAATTTTGCATACCTACTGGCCCCCATCATATTGTTCAGCGTTACATCGACGGATATGAGAAACGGTGCAGAGTCACGATGAATAAGTCGTATGTAAAGACACTTTCTCCAGCAACGCAGCACTTCAGTGAAAGGGCGTTTGCAATGTCTGTCGTAAATGTGACAAGGACATAAACTTTGTGAAGCTAAGACAGAGGGGTAGGAGGAAGAAGAAGAAGAAGAGAAAGGGAGGGAGCAGAGGGAGGAGTGATTGGGAGAAGGCGAAGGAGGAGGAGGAGGACAGTGAACATGGGAAAGCAGTCACACCGACTAAAAAGTGGACCTCCGTGCAGAGCTAGGCGGACCTACCACCGAGGGCGTTATAGCAAAGGGTCCGATGGTGAATTGGGCGTCGGTCACCACAGGTCCCTCATTGCGGTAGAACATGCAGGAGGAGACCATGGTCAGGAAGAGAATGAGCAGACAGCAGGCTACTCTTTCCACTCTGGTGAATCGACTGTGAGCGGGCCTAGTGAAGACAGAGACCCAAATGTGTCCATCGCTCACATCCAACTTCACCTTGGAGTTAAAGACGTATGCGAACTGGAGGCGATCCTGCGAACCAACGACAGGAATGGCACGATCCACCTAAAAGACAGACAAAGAGAGAAACTATGAGGGAATGAGTCCGAGCCAATGGTGTTGCGCTTCTATTCCTATGATCCACGGTCGGAAGCCGGACTAGCTGCAAATCTTGCTGAAGAAGAAATCG